CGTCAGACAGCTGTGTGGGGCATGTGAATGATTCAAGGCTCTTTCAGTCAACTTTGTGTTCTACTTAATGTTAATGATCTGGCAGGGCGACAAAGGCTTCTGGAGGTGTACATAAGATTGAGCAATGTGCAAGCTATTTGTGTTGGTATTAATGAGATTTGTAGTATACATATGTCTATCTGGAAGGCATCTGAGGACAAACAGTTGTGGATGAACTTAGGTATTCTATTGAAATCTGATTTAGTTTCCTCTCTTTTATTTTTTGTTGCCTGTGTTTGTTACATAATCTTTTCTTTGTACCTTGATACCTCACCAAGTCACAGTTGCACTGCTAGACATCCGTCCTGTTAGGTCTGTTCCCGTCTAGTGTAGAGAGTGATATCTCTACAGACTCATATCCCCTCATTTATACATCAACCTCATCCCTATCCGCAGGTAGGCGTGTTACATGCGTGACCTTCCGCGCTCTTCCACAGCACGTGCGGCACATGCGCATCCTTCTGCACACTGGTGCTTTACTCGGCATATCCTCCTATGTCCTGCCCTGTCTGTCCGGTTCTGTTGGTGCATACTCCCACTGTTATCTCTGTTGCTGACCACATCCAGGGTCTCTTACATATAGACTTACCACATATCTGCTTCCTTATGCGCTTCCGCACAGCGTATCCACTTCCCTTATATTTCAGTACCCTGAGAGTGCACATAGTGACTTACATATTGATCATTCCGGACTTACTTACTTTCCCTGAGTTGGACTCTGTATCAGATTTCCTGTTGAGTTGCGCACTAAGCGCTAATATCATCATCTTTTCTGCCTATCATTTGTCTAGTCTGATTAGACTTGTCTACTACCCTTGAGAAGCATCCCTATCATCAGCCACCACCAATTCCTTATCTCACATGTACTGTGCTTTAGCCGCATCCTTCCGCTCATCTCGTGCATCCGCTGTGCATACATCGCGCATCTTCATGCGCCTTCACATATCTTCAGCTTCAGCAGTTTCTTTGATCCCACTTATTCTTAGAGAGATTAGTCTCAGTAGCATCCCCTAAGGGACGATTCAACTAGACCGCCTCTCAATGTTTATATTTTGTGACTCCCCAGAGTTCGCATTACTATTTCCTCACCCACACCGTGATCTTTGTCAATGCTGTTTCAACTGGCAAAGGCAAAACCATCATATGGTGGTTAATCATGTACTTGCAGATTGTCAAAGGTTTCTTGTTCGACTACCCCCACTTACTGTTGTTGCTTGTTCAAGCAGTTGTTATTTGAATCATTGAATCAAGCCTCACTTTGGACAATATGATGAGTTCACACAAACAACCATGGGGGATTCTGATAGTGTGTGTGATGCAGCGAGGGTTAGCTGGCTGGAGTCTATATGTCTTTGTGTGACAATTATTGCGGTGATGCTGGAGAAGCTGCAGTTGCAGTTGGTTTTGGTCTGTACTTGAAGGCAGAGCAGGAGAGGCAACATGGGTACTTGAGGGATGGACCGTATATTAGTGCAGAGGAGGCCATTGCCATTTACATGGCGATCATTCACTGGCTAGAGAGCTGCAAATTTGCTCCTATCCCATTCCCATAAGTGAGCTAAGCATTTGTTATACGTCCTAACTTACCGTTTTCTCTTGTCCTCTGTGTTGCAAACATGACACGAAACTTCTTGTACTTGCACTTGAAAAGCTGAAGGAGACTTATTCAGTCAAGGGTCGCCTTAACCAATCACAGTGTGAAGAGCTTGCCCTCATTGGGCAGGTGTATGATGATCCACACAAATGTCTGTCATGCATCAAGCAACCGCCTCTTACCTAGTGTACATTCAAGAAGGCTGGTATTCAGTGATTGATATGAGCATGATGATCTTCCCATGATGTGTACCATCGGACCCTATGGAGGACAATATTGACCGACATATGGACATGTTACTTCTTATTAATCTCATCAGACCTCTCAACTCCACTCATTTCAATTTCGACAAACCCACAAACATCCTGATTTTGACCATTAGACCTCTGAATTCCACTCCCTTCAACATCTAAGTCCTGTGAAGGTGCGAAAATCATAACCTTTTTTACATGACAAGGGCTGCCACTGTAGATTTTAGATCTAATATGGACTCGAACATCAGTAAACTGGCCACTCACCAGCGGTACTCCTCTTTGGACACCACCTGCTGACTCCATCGACTTGAAGCCAATCTCACAACAGCCTCCACCGCGATGTTCTCACGGCCTTCGATGTATCAGCTGTATCTCTACAAATATGGTGAGCGGGCGATTGGACATTGTTTCTTTACTCACCAGATTCATAGGACCCATATTTACTGATTGATATGCAGGAGATGCAGGAGACTGATTGACATGCAGGAGATGTGGGGGTAAGATAGCACTCTTCCCTTTTAGGGTATTGTGACATGTCACTTTGTCACTTTTTCACATTACAGTGGCACAACCACCACTACTAGTACACATTGCACTCTCTGATACTGCAGGTGAGGTTCTGAGGGCAGTGGTGACCTCACTCAACTCCCTTGTTGCTCTTTTCTGCCTGGGAATGATTCAATGGACTGTAGTGCACCAACCTGGACTATAATCTTGGGTCAACAGTCAGAACCCTCATCTCCTTCCATGTCCTCAACCCGTGCCTTCTACACTAATATGGTGTCTGACAAGCATGAAGTGTTGGTATGGCCATGTTCTAGACCTGAAGGCAAGTACCATGTGATGCTTCTCGGCCACTTTCACTTAGTCAAAATTTAGGTGCCAAAATTGAAGTATGTTTCCAATGCCAGCCCTAGTCTCTTCACATATCCTCCTCCCACTCACACCTCCCAAATGGGATACCTTTGCTATAACAGCTACCACTGTTCTTTCAATGACTGCCAAGGTTGAAGACCCACGCCCTCACTCCCCCACTACGAGCCTTTATGAAATCTCATCGAACATGTGTGCCATACCTTCTGCTACCATCCTGTAAATACACACACCGTCGGCGCTTTCTCAGCACAGAAATAGTACATTATTGACAAGTATGTGTTGACCATATACGGTTATCCAACTAGTGAGAATTGGAAAGATAGTGCCAGAAGACAAAGACAAAGAACCAGAGGAAATTTGCACTGACCTTCGGTGGAAGCTAGGTGAAAGACTTGCGGTCTCCGGGAGTATATCTTCTGAAGCTCCTGGACCGCTTACCATGGGTGCTATCTTGGCAAAGTGTGACAGAAAGTTGACTCGTCTATAGGTTGTGAGCATCACTGTGGTACTTGCACAAAATGGCTGGAACATTAAACTGCCACATGAGCCATGCATCTCTCATGAGATATCTACACCCATATCATACTGGTTGACTTCACTTCAACCCATCCAGTTCCTTCAACTTGGGAGAAGTGATTGCTTTAGTGTTATGTAAGCTGTTCCTGATAACCATAATAGATATCATGAACAAACTCTCTTATTCAGTGTTCAACATCGCCCTTATGAGCTCGCTGTCTCTTTATCTCATCAGGCACCGGCACTCCTCAACGAAGACACATTATCTTTACGCCCCCACCCAACACTCCGCTTCATGCCCCAACCCATCACTCCCCACTTCATGATTCAGCTTCCTCCAAGCTCCTAACATCCCCCAAACCTCATCTGAAGTCCGCCATCTGCCATTGTTCAGGAATAGAGATGAGAACCACTTGGTGTATGAAGTCGCCCTTACCACAGCTTTGGTGTCGATTTTGCTTAGTTTTGCTATCTTTACGCACAAGGACTTGTGGTGGCTGATGATGAACTTTGGACTTTATTTGTACAGTATCGACATTTCCTGACATGTTCTGTTAGCTGTAATTGGAACTGAATTTATGTTTCTATCTGTTTTGTTGTCCTTGCCAGTGTGTTGACGGCATACACAATGGAGCGGTGCAGCTCAGGCTCCTAGCAAGTGACAAGGTATTACCTGGACGTGTCACAACTGCCAGCAATGTCCATCTCTTGTCAATACTACGAGAGTTTTGCATTTCCTGATTGCCAACTAGGTAACATTGCAAACAGTTATGACAAAGTCAAGCTCAGGCAGTAGGTGACCACTTTTATGGCTTTTTCGACAGTTTATCTATAAAATATCATATTTACAAGCCATACATATCTTCATCAACATCAGAGTTTTATTGCAATTGCTGGTCATTCAGTGTCATGGTGCTGGTGCCTATATATCTCCATATATTTGGACATAATAGGTGGATGTTTGATTTTATTTTGCCAGAAATATCTATTAACATCACCTCATGGCTGATTTCCTGATGTTGGTGATCGAGCTCACATACAGGGCATCACCTAAGTAAAGAAATCAAAATGTATAAGTGCCATAGGTTCAGAATATGGTGAAAATGGCACAAGGATATGACAATATGCATCATATTATCATTTCATGGTTCTTTAGTCAAAATATAGTGATAATCTAGCTGGAATCTAAGATTCATGTGACATTTCCACCATTCCATAATTTCTTTTTTTTTTTCGCTGTGTCACAGATATGGTGCGAAAAATATGTAACCTATACTGTGGGAAGGTTTACTACACCCTAACAACTTTAGGGGTCTACCAGATATTTCCAGTGGTTTGTGGTGTAAATGAAACCTCTCTTACAGGTAAGATAGACCTCCTTCATACACCAGTTCATCATGTGATTTGAGGATAGAATACATGATTTTGGCTTGTTACTCTGTTTAAACTTATAATTAGCTAAATCTGTTTCAAGATCTTGTGGGAATGTGCTCGTAAGGCTCGTACCTTAACCTCGTGATCACATGACTTATTAATTATACACTTGTTCGATGCCTTGATTAACTCACTTGTTACAGATTACTTTACCTTTATACCTTGTTACCCTTTGTCGGTCCTTTGTCCAATGCCAGACACTAGCTACCATTGTTGTTGCAACACTTTCTGATTTTATTTGTACATGTGTTATCTAACATATCGACTATCCTTTTTTTTGGTTGTGCTTAGGCAGTTACACCAATGTATGTGCTGTTCCTTTCATCTCCACCTTCCTCACAATCATCGCCCCCAAGACGCCACAATATAACTGCCATTTTGTCGCATGCGATCTTTGTCTGTCCAATCATATTCATTGGGCTGAATTCCCAATGCAACGTATTCTCGTCTATGGTGTTTCTGGTAGTGCCTGGATAATACGCATTCCGGCGACACTTGTGCGTTCCTAAATGAAATGGTTCAGCATTGATGTGGAATACGGGATGGGCATATTTCATCAACACATTCACTGTGTGTAGATTTGTTCTGTCGTCCATATATATGGCTGGATTTACTAAACTCTTTTTATCTGCTGTCCAGGTTGGGTAGAGGGAGATCAGGGTATGTGCAGTCATGTAATTCATGACCGCTGTAGAATGATATTGAAGGATTGGTATGGTGGCGCTTGCCCAGTCGGTGATGATTACGTCTATTTTTTTCTTTCCTTTGGCGAGTTTAACAATCTTCATTATTGCAGATGAGTCATATTCTGTCTTTCGAACAACGGTGTTCATCAACTCATATTCCTCAATGTCCTTGAAGTGGCTCATCATGGCTTCTTCAAATTCTTGCATGGCGCACACGTCTAAATCCTGCAATCCAAGAGCGTCCGATTTTGCTTGAAAGAGATGCAGTGTGCTTGAACCCAATATAACTGATCTGGTCCGCTCAACCAGGTTTATGAAAGCACCGACATCATCCACAAATCTGTTGAATAACGCTCTGTGATGCTCATCCATATATTCTTTTACACCTTCGTTATTCTCCATTCTAGTTTTTGCGAAGGACATCAAGTCAGGGAGTGAAAGTTCTTCTAGTACGCTCCTTTGCAATTCGGTGCATAGCTTGTCAAAGTTGCCATTAAAGTTCTGCATCATTGGAAAGTCAAATGAAGAGGGGATGTTTGTGAAATAAGTTGGTTTGTCTTCGTTTTTCTAACTTCTAACCATCTTTAATGATGATTAATAGGGTCTTTTGAATTACAATGACGCACTGCTCTATCAATCATGAGCTCCGATCTCGAATGGTGGAATAGCATATGGTCGCTTTTCCGGCAATAATACGGTCTGCTTTACTTCTTCGTGATTTTCTGTGCCCCTCTTAACCGACGATTAATAGGGTCTTTATTTTCTTACACGGATAGGATCGCCACCGGACATTTCAAAGATCTTCGGTTCAGGAGTGTACAAAATTGTCATTGTTTGGGGTGGGCAGGGCTGTCAATGGAGACTGTATCATAAATGCGGTGATGGGTACTGATATCTTGGCGATTACACGAGAGACCTCTGATTGCTCAGTTGGTCGACAGCAATAGTCAACGTGCCATTTCATTCAAGATGTTTCAGTTACACATGCATCCTTATCCCTTTTTCATCACTTTCTCTTTATTCTTTTTAATCATAATCAGGCACTCTGCATAGTATTCTGAATTGTTGTGTTGATTAGTCACGAGCTTGAGGACAACTTTTCAAGGTCACTTACTGTTCAACAGCCTTGCATGCGGTGATGAAATCCTTTCTATCTAGATCTTCAACTTTTGTTGTATTCATGATTTTGAAGACCAAGTACGGGCACAACAGTGTTCCATGAAGTTTCTTGTCATACAGCACACTGAAGACTGTAGCATCCAGAAATTTTTCACTTTTGATGGTGACTTGAACTTGCTTGATTTCCGTAATGTTTTTGAAATAATTGCCTGGCCATCTCAGAACAACTCTACCACTCCTCTTGTTTTTGACAATGACTTTGAGTAAACCATTTGACTCAGTAAACGCGAATAAGCAAGCCATGATCTGACGGTCGTTGCTAGTTGTTTGATTAATTTGGTCGGTCATATTGGGAGAATTGTCGGTACCTCAAATGAATTCAACATGGTTTAAATATGTTTCAGAATTTTCAGGGACTCCTCGGTTGGTTGAACCCTTTTCATATTTGCCGATCTCTCTGATGTCATATTTGTGTTCTCTCCTGATATCATGACATCAGGGTCTAATAATTCATGACAGCCAATGTCTTGGTCTTCACAGTTCTATCAAAGTTTGCTTCAGGCTCCATATTCAATGGTCGCTCGCAAATCAACCAACACCGTTGATGTTTACTCCATCGAGAATTATATGTTCTCTCATGAGCCAGTCAATTTTCTTCTTCTTTCATTTTCGACAGAATGTACTAATAGTTTTATTTAGGAGGGACAAACATATCATAGAGCGATGTTTTATGACACCAATTGTGAAGAAGCTATATTAACCTATGTTCCTGAAGATACAGATGGTGTTGCTCGTGTGCATATGTGGATAAGCGGAGGCCATCGTTCCTGTCTCAGCGCTGCTTCACCCTGTATTCTCTCTGTTGGAGGATTCCCTGGTTCTCGATTCAGTGTTTTCTCGGACGCATATAGCGTCATTTTCTTTAACCATCATCCAGATCTTCCTGTCAATTGAGTGTTAGGTCAATACGATTTCGCGGATGGGGTTCACAAGTGGTATGGAGATATCTTGGTTGTCAAGCATGTAGGCCATGTTTATAAAGCCTTGCAATCCATGGCTTTTGATGAGAAGGTTCTCGTCGATGCAGTTTTAGCCAGGTCAGTCATTTTTTGTTGTCTACATCCCCATAATAATGATGTATCATACAGTCTGTCTCTTTTGTTGTTGCATCGTGAATAACTATGTGATCTCTAACTGTTCTGCTATCACTGCCTTTGATTCTGTTTACCTTTACATCTCTACACTATTCACAATTCTTCATTCCGGGCAGATGTCAGTTAGATTCTTCCATTATATGAAATCACTTACTCTTGTACCGCTGTGGGAGAAATCGTAGAAGTCCACTATAGTGATAGCGTACCGATCCTGCTGGGTGAGAGAATAGTAGTCGACCCAAGGGGATAGCTCTGGGAGCAGTTTCTCAAGTATGAGCAAGGGGAACAGTGAAGAGGGAAGTAATGTGCTGAAGACAGAACAGCTGCATGTGGGAGGATGTGTAGGGATGCGGTGTGGGGACAACAAATCTGCTGAGTAGCAGAAGGTGTTGGGTCTTGCTGCCTAGCTGCTATGCCTTGAGAGACAATGTAAGACCCAGGCTTTCTTGACTAGGGAGTGCTCAAGCAGGGAGAGAGAGAGAGAGAGTGTGTGTGTGTGTGTGTGTGAGAGAGAGGGAGGGTGTCACTCCAGACAATGAGGCTAGAACTTGGTATCAGGAGCAAACTAGTGAGCTAAGAAGCTACAACCAGAGAAGCTACAAACTGGGGAAGCTACTACTTAACCCTAGAAGGGGAGCTACCAGAATATGAACTGAATACTGCTAATGAGTGGAAGTGTAGGGCGAAGATTTGATCATTAGGTAAGCAGTCAAATGCCAACATAAACAAAGGAAAGGGGTAAGTAAAGCTAGGTGGAAACTGTCAATACAAGGCCACAGGGAACTAGTTCCCTACAGCAGAGTATATGGATGCGAAGTCTAGGGAGTACCAGGTATGTGGGACAGGTAAGGTACCAGGTATATGTGGAGATGCGTAGGGACTGTCTTGCGAGTAAACTCAACTGGAACTAACAATAGCCAACTGTCGATGACGATGCGAGCACTCGCGCGGGATGAGAAGGCAAACAAGTGATTGCTCAAGCAAGGAAAGACAAGGTAGGACTAAGCTAGTGACTCCGCAACACACGTCCAGAGAGGGAATGTAGGAAAGTGATGGATATGAGTCTGAGACATAGTATATAACAGAGTCCATAAGAAACCGGAACCGTATAAGCGGACACATCTACAAGCGAGGTCATGAGGAGATAATATGTAAGTAACACTATGTGGCCTCATGTACTGAAGACCTGTATGTAACGATCCTGCGAACGATCAGGAATGACTAATGAAGATGGAAACACACCAGTGGGGGCAGACAGGCTTGGATAGGATATGGACGGACGATGCGTGGCAATGCGATGCATAGTCAGGGGTGTGCAGATTCCGCAACCTCGCACAACGGTCCGTGACGAGGTGTGACTGTGGGCACAACACTTGTCTAGCTGGTGGAATGAATGTCATACGGGGCTGCAGCCAGGATGTCTCCTACACCGCGTTCACTACCGCCATAAAGTCTTTTCTTGTAAGACTGATGATATTTGTTTCGTTGACTTCTTTCATCGCTAAGTATGGGCCATTCTTTCTTCTATGTGATCTTATGTCATATTGTTACAATAACATACTTCGGACCGGACCCCCCTATCTTTTCTCACCTTGTACTGCCTTATGACATCCTCATCATCTTCTTGTATAGCATCTTTGATCGCCATCTTATCTTGTATCTCTTATCTTGTACCCTGTACCCTTACCATTGCCTCGGTAGACCTGCCCTGAAGTAACCTTTACCTATAAGTAGTCGATCAGCTTGTCCTGTATTCTCTAACTTGAATCTACTCAGTATTCTGATAGACCTTCCTTGAGCAAGATCGCTCTCGTATACGATTTCACTTAAGACTCTTTGTCTTAGTATCTATACTCGATCGATACCCTTAGCCTTGTCTTTACTTGACGACTCTTGTCACCAAGTCTTGACACTAACAATAACGACAAACGAACCTCTGCATCATCTCCGTCTCAGCTGAGACTTAGTACAGAGTCCTTACCTGAGTCAGCGCTTTCAGCATAACATGAGGATTTGTGCTGATTCTTCTTCAATGTTATGGGTGAACAGCATTCTGCACTCTGTTATGTCTTGTTCATTTTTGAAATAATGTCCGTCTGTTGTGATTATGTATCCGCCTTCTGCTTGATCTGTGATGTAGACATTGACAAATCCATTTTTTTGTGAAGAGGAGACTAGACAAGCGATGACTGTACGTTGTTGGGACATGCCATACTAGTTTCGGTACAATGTTGATTTATCTCCTATAATTCTGTGTACTAGTATTAGCTGTTTCCTGGGTCCTCGTATTCCAATGTCATGTTTTGATCATCTCGCTGTCTCAATCCGACAAAATCATACTACATGTTACAGTGACCCCATCATTTTTCCCATCATCATTCTTCTCTGATCTATTCTTGTTATCTCTGACTGCTTATCAACATGCGCTGCATGAACATTCCAGATAGTTCTATGATGTTCTTCTTGACTCCCTTACTTCCATAGTCGGCCTGGTCCGTGCTTTTCCTGTTCACTATAAATACTGTGATAGTTACACTTGTATTTCTCTAACTTGAATCTACTTGGTTCTTTCCGATACTTGATCATCTTCTGAGGAAGATACTTGATTCCGATCTAGCTCTTGCAAAGAGGCTAGTCTATACTCAAATTTCGTCTAGAGGGAGAGCCCCTCAGACGTCTGAACCGAACATCGTAACACTTGAACTCCTTTATTGGATTAGTTACACAAGAACTATCCAAGTCATAACACTACATAAGGAAATTTTGGCCACGTGGACCCCCTCCCCCTCTCTGTCGAAAATTTGACGTGTCAGTGTCATGGTCCTTTGTATTGCACACCGCTTGGTTGAACTCATCTTTTCCTGCCACTCCAAAACAATTTCTCACTTCTCCTGAAATGTACGAATCAACGGAAACTCCATATCATCTGTCGAATGATGACTCTGCAACATGTAAGCTTTACGATGATGGATAGCATCACACTCCAAGGTCCTCGCACATTGCAAATCTGATGCCTCATCGCGTGCAACACAATGAGTGACCGCATTGATCTCACGAGACGAAACAGAGAAAGGTTCAGGAAGAATCAAACTAGCAAAATCGTGACAGGGCATCAGTACAACATCAAATTACTTAAACCAACTTTTTTGGACTTTTCAATGCTTTATGGCCTTTTTTTCAATTTTTTTCTGAATTCACTGCCTCATCCAAACTTGTGTGTTCCAATATGTTTTATAAACCTAAGAGACATGTTTAAAAACATAAAAACAGAAATTTGTTACCAGTAAGTGGCACAGAGTGCTGATAATTTTTATTTTCAAATCCTCTCCTGAAGTGGTAATCTTTACAAATTGTGAACTCCAACCATTGGAACAGTATGAAATAATCATAATAAACTATTCCTGATACTCAAGTTGGGACCAGGCAGTGAACTGATAAAAAAAAGGCCACTCATTTTTGAAAAGAAGTGAAAAGAAGTAAAAGTCGTCGGAAAGGGCCAAAAAAGGCTGATTAAGTAATTTGAGGTTTTCCTGATGCAACATTGGAATTCAGCAGCCTACAAGCACTATGAAACATCGCTTAAGTGTCACTTCAAAGGCAATGGAAGTCCGGATTACCTTGAGTTTGTTTTCACGTGTTGTGTTGATCCTACAAACCATAGACCCCATCACCGAAAATGTATGCAGACTGGTCAGGGTATGAACAATCTTGTCACAGGCATGAAAGACTGTGCTGTGCGGTGTGGTGTCTCATCTGGGTCTGATGCCACCGGCACACAACAAACTATTACTGGATCAGTTTTGAAATATACAGCGGAGGCTCACCGTGCTTTGATAGCGATGCGTTGTGCAGTGAATAAACACCCATTTCAATCAGTGGCAGATCCTCTCTACTAGTACTGACACTCGTATAGCTTCTTCAGTTGACGCTGAACAGGCATTCTCCGGTGGCCGTCTGCAAGTCAACCACCTTCAGCACGGCATCAGCTCGCAGACCTTCAAGGCACAGGTCGCCATTGGATCTTGGCTCGATACACCACTTATGCCCGATCTCAGTGTTGCTACGACAATCATGCGAAAGAAAATGGGATGGGCAAAGGGAAAAGAGAAGGGATCAGAGAAGGACACAATTGACGTTGACTCTGATTAATTTTTTTCATATTTCATACATGTGTTCTCGTACCTACGCTATACACTACCTTCACCCGGGTGACCAATACCACCTGCGGATCCACCCATGGATCCACCCACACCCATGATAGTCTGACCCGTATGGGTGCGGGTAGGCATTCAGAGTGCCACCTACCCGCGGATTGGGTACGGGTGCCACCCGGGTGGACCCATGTCACACCCTAAGTAGAATTCCCGTCGTCGGGGAGGGGTTGATCCGACAACACAAGCGAAGTGGTGTACCAAACATTCTTTCTCTGGCCTCACAATTGATGATTTACTTACTTTATGTTGGTACTCTTACTGCTGACATAATCCAATGAAGTTTTGACCTAGTACCAGTATCAGTCTGAAAGTCCCCTGTCCTTTTGTCTTGTTTCCTTGTCTGTTTCTCTCTCCTTGAGCACTGAGCCTAGAGCAGAGACCCTTTAGGGTCGAACTAGCCTAGGCCAGCAAGACCCAACATTTCCCTGCAGCTCAGCAGGATTGTTGTTCGCACAGCGGGAGGGACCAACATTGAAGAAGTCAACGAAGATGAACTAGACGCCATAGCAGATGAAGTCGTGTCGCTCGCTACCAAAAAACACTGAGATGAGAGACTGAGAACACAGCACAAATGCGAAAAATACGGTGCTAGGATAATTTCTTATATTTTCAGAATTCCCAAAATTGTATCCACATATTACCCAATTCAAAATAACAGCCTGTGTATTCTCAAAGACTCTCGAAATAAACCATATGTATTATTTCCAACACATGTGACTCCCGGCGTGATCAATCAATGAATATACATATGACGTCGACGCGCGCACAAAATCACTAAGTCCCTCGCTATATCATAGTGTCGTCGTCGAGCTCATCATCCCTTGAGCACTGTAGCTGACCATGTCAACGAATTGTTACAAATGCAGCTGTGCGCGCTGCTCGCAGCATCCAGACAGATTCACGTACCAGACACGGCAGGTTATTACGAAGCACGCGAAGAAGTACCCCCCTGTCTTGCAACCAACAGGTGTCGATATCAATGCTGATGCAGGCGCAAATCCGATGAATGATGCATCCAGGTCATCATCTGAGTCTGAGGGTACCGACCATCGAGAGATACCGGAGATTCCACCTCAAGGCAGAGAGGATGAGTATGATTTCGAGTTTCAGCATATGGACGACCAACATGCGGAAGAGCAGCCTCGATTTCAGGCAGAACGACAAGAACCTGTCCAGGAACTCCAAGACTTCAACTTCCGTCCGGTGGCATGGCCTGACGTGCGAGTTCCTGGCAGTGACCAGGATCAAGAGGATCGGCCGTCCCTTGTTCCACGAGCCTTCCAAGAACGTCCGGGTGTCCGCCTTGCCTATCTCAACACAGTCATTGGTAATGTCTTTGGAAAGCAGAGCATACAAGCTGCAACGGATGCTCTCAACAATCAGCTAAATTGTATGCTACTCGAAGGTGTACTACCCGAGCATCCGCGTCCCGTCCGCCATCTCCTCAGCGCGAAGTGTCGACTCGGCATTGATGCTGACCAGTGGGTCACTCAATATGCGATATGCCCCGAGTGCTGGAAGCACTTTACTCCTGCTCAGGTCAAGGAGCTTCCATCTCCCGAGTGTACTGTGCCAGACTGCGAAGGAGTACTATACGACGAACATACTGATGCGAAAGGCAAGCATGTCAGAACCTCCAAAAAGATCATGCCGCACGTATCTCTCATTGGCAGCCTTCGCCGAATGTTCATGCGACCTGGTTTCGCAAAATCAGTTCGAGACAGCCGACAAGATCGTCCAGGACAAAATGAAGACGAAGACTATGTCATGACCGATATGCATGACGGCATGTTATGGCATGAGCTCGAGACTGTTACGACTTGGATAGTTCTTGCGTAACTAATCCAATAAAGGAGTTCCTCGTGTTACGACGTTCTGTTCAGACACTTGAGGGGCTCTCCCTCTAAGTGAAGTTCGAGTATAGGCTAGTCTCTTATAAGAGCTAGATCGGAATCAAGTATCTTCCTCAGAAGATGATCAAGTATCAGAGAGAACCAAGTAGATTCAAGTTAGGGAATACAAGCGTGACTACTGCGGTATTTATAATGGACAAAGGAGGCACGGACCAGGCCGACTATGGAAGTGAAAGGAGTCAAGAAGATCATCATAGAACTATCTGGAATGTTCATGCAGTGCATGTTGATAAGCAGCCAAAGATAACAAGAATAGACGGAAGTATCTAGAATGTTCATGCAGTGCATGTTGATAAGCAGTCAGAGATAACAGGAATAGATCGGAGAAGCATGATGATGAGAAAATGATGGGGCCGCTGTAACATTACCCCCTGTTTATCGTCTGAAGTCACCGACTTCAGCAACTTTCCAACCTTGCATCGTCGTAGTAGACGAGATCCGCGTCAGCGTTATGAAACTCCAACAGATCGTCCCCCGTGCGTTTGTTGGCGAGCTCCTCTGCTTCTCGCTCAATTCGCTCGATAAGTTCGTCTTGGTCCGCTTCCCATTTAGCAAGAGCGTCATAGAAGCCGTCTTCGTTGTGCTCCATGGGGAGGACTCTTTCGCCGTTGAGTTGGCAGCAGAAGACCGATAGGTGTCCAGGCTTGAACACGAGGCACGCTCTGCAGTAATATTCTGGGCAGTTCTTGTGACGATGTCCCATTTCTTTGCAGTGGCGGCAAATGATGTTGTCATCGAAGGAAAGAGGGGGTGGTAGCGATCTGGATGACTTTGGAGGGGTTACGATATCTGGCTGCGAGCAGTGGTCTTTGTTTTTTGGAGGGGAGCGTGATTTGGGTTTGTAAGGTGTTTTCTTTGCGGGGCTTTTACGACGTTCTGAATGCCTGGGCGCGTTCTGCGGTGGAAGGATGGGTAGTGTGATTGTCGGTTCAGGAGTGACGGGGATAGCAGTAGGAGGAGGTGGGGGAGGAATGGCGACCTCGGTTGTGACTCGTTCTGCGATGGTTTGTATGGCTTGCGTTACATCCTCCTTGAAATACAAAGGAAGGAGATGGAGAGCAAAGGTCCGTATTTTTCTTTGACAATAGAGGATGCTGCGCTGAGTGTCGGCATTGCCTACATTTTCAGCGATGGTTTCCAAGAGACTGGTGGTGCGGATGATATTGACGGTGGTAAAGGTGGTGTCATCCTCTCTTTCAGTGAGGATGCGTTCTATTTCAAGAGCATGTTGTGGGGATAACAGGGCGGATTCTACGAGGGAGGCAGCGTCAATCTCGTTAACGAGGTCGAAGTATTCAGCGAGTTGGAAGGACGAAGACATGGTTTGTTCTGCTAGAATCGGTTCTGGAGACGAGTGTTCAATGGAGAAGTCGGGCTAATTTGAGGCGGTTTTTATAGGTTTTCAGGATTTCTAGGGCGTTCTGAAGTTCCTTTTCGGGCAGCCATGAGTTTTCTGAACTAGGGTAACCCTTCCATGACACGAGGAAACGGCGTCTTCCTTTTACGTTTCCCTTGTGGGCGAGGATCGCTTCTATCTCGTATTCCTCTTGTCCGTTGATAAGATCAGGTGGTGGTTCAGGATGGTTCGGGCCGTGAATTTCAGTTTCCCGATAGGACGATAGTTCAGAAGCATGAAACACGGGGTGAGATTTCCAAGATTCTGGGAGACGGAGTTTGAACGTGATAGGGGAGAGGACTTTTTCAATTTCGAAGGGACCATATCGCTTCGGCGCGAGCTTCCTTGATGGGAGATGGGTGATAAGATGCGCAGCAGACAGCCAAACTTTGTCTTTAGGTTTCCAGGGTTCGAACTTTCTTCCAAATGATCGTTCGGCCATACGTTGCATTGCTAGTTTATGACAGGCAAGGGCTTCTTCTCGAATCTTCTGGAGGTGTTTTACTCGGTCTTCTGCGGCAGGGATAGCGGAATCGGGGAAAGCGTAAGGAATTCCTCGAGGCTCATAGCCCATCATGAGGAAGAATGGAGAGGTGTTTCGGGAGTCGTGTTTTCGGTGATTATGGACGAATTCTGCCATAGGAAGATGTTTTACCCAATCTTGGGGGGTTTGACCGGCAATAAATGCGGAGATAGGTTTCGAGTTCTTGGTTCAATCGTTCAGTTTGTCCATCAGTCTGCGGGTGGTAGGCGGTTGAGAGGGCAACTTCGTAATCAAGGAGTCTTCCAAGTTCTTTTGCGAATTTTGATGCGAATTGGGGACCTCTGTCGGAGATGATCTTGTCATATAAACCGAATCTGAGGAACACTTTCTTGAAAAAGAGTTTGGCTACTCCTTCTGACGTGATGGTTTTCTTGCAAGGTGAGAGAATTAACCCCTTCGTAAGCCCATGGTCTACCACGACCATGACAGAGTCAAAGCCTTCCGATGGTGGGAGGTCGGTGATCAAATCTACCGAAACTTGAGCGAAGGGGCGTAGAGCGGAAGAGGGAATAGGGTTTAGAGGGGGAGTCGTGGGGTGCATATCGGATTTCATCTGTTGACACATCGTGCATCCTTCGACATATTTCCGGATGTATGTTCCCATTCCAGGCCACCAATAATCACGCTTAACTAGTTCTTCAGTTTTAAAGCGTCCGGGGTGCCCGGCAGTGGGGTGGTCATGGTGAAGATTTAAGATGCGATGGCGGAGATTTGCGGGGACGTAGGCTCGGTTCTTATAGAAAAGTGTGTTGTCTTCGATACGCCAGTCAGAGAGTGCGGATTTCATAGGAGGGGCATTGAGCCCGTCTAGGGCCTATTGGGCTGCTAGGATAATGGGGTCTGAGAGGGGATTCTGGAGTTTCAGTGCTGCGGCAAGGTCGATATCAATGAGTCGTCCAAATAATTCATCAGGGAGGAGGGTAATATTGGTGTTATCAGTTTGGCCTGCAGAATGATCTGGTCGTCGTGAGAGAGCATCAGGGGCGGCGAGTTTGCTTCCTGCAACATGATGTAGTTCTAGATCGAACTCGTTGAGGGTTAGCTGCCAACGTGCCTGCCGACGTGTCAGGTTCTGTGCTGATCGGAAATAGAGAAGATTCTTGTGATCGGTGAAAACTACTACAGGGTGTGGGTTCCCTTCAAGATAGTGGCACCAAGCTTTCAGGGCTCGGATGATTGCGAGGAGTTCCCGATCATAGATCTGATAGTTTCGTTCTGCTGGATTAAAGGATTGGGATAGATATCTGCAAGGATCATAAGCACCATTCTCGTCTGTTTGTAAAAGAACGGCTCCAGTGGCAACAAGGGAGGCATCGGTGGCAAGAGCGAATTGTCGTGAGGGGTCGGGGTTTCGGAGGACAGGTTCAGAAAGGAAACATTTCTTCAGCTTTTGGAAGGAGCTTTCACAAGCTTCTGACCACGTAAATATTGCATCCTTTTTTGTCAGGTCGATCAAGGGTCGTGCGAGGTCGGAGTAGTGGGATATGAAATGACGATAGAAGTTACAGAATCCTAGAAATGATCGGACTTCTTTTACAGAGGATGGAATTTGCCATTCACTGATGCCGGAGAGTTTGGCAGGGTCCATCGCCACTTGTCCGGGTCTGATGATCATTCCTAAGTAGTCCACCTCCTGGGCATCGAAGGTACATTTTTCTGGTTTCAGGAAGAGGGTTTCTTTTCGGATGATTTCAAGAATACGGCGGGTTCGGCTTTGGTGTTCTTCAAGAGTTTTCGAGAAGATTAGGATGTCGTCCATGTAAACGATCATCCATCCTTCATCAATTTCCTTCCTGAATGTTTGATTCATATACGCTTGAAACGTGGCTGGTGAATTGCACAGGCCGAAAAACATGACCTTTGGTTCAAAAAGCCCAAACGAGGTAGTGAACGTGGCTTTCCAGCGGTCGTCAGGATGAATCAGGATGTTGTTGTATCTGGATCTAACATCCATCTTCGTAAAATAATTTGCGCCCTGCAATTTTGCGATTAAAGGGGGAATCAGGGGAAGGGGGTATGCGTTCTTTATCGTCCATTCGTTGATATAGCGATAGTCTTGGCAAGGGCGAAGGGAACCGTCTTTCTTTCCGACAAAGAAGAAACCACTGGCTTGGGGGGACTTTGATGGTTGAATGAAATCTTTCGAAAGGTGTTCGTCTCAGAAAGCTTTTACGGCTTCGGTTTCTTTCTGGGATAAAGGGTAGGTTTTCGCTGATTTAGGGACATAGCCCGGTTTGATTTCGATTCTATGATCCACTCCTGGCCTAGAGGGAGGTAACTTGTTTAACCCGTCTTTAGCGAAGATATCGGAGAAGTCGTGGAGATAGGATGGGACGAGTTCTTCGAAAGTCTTTTTCTTCTTTCTCGTGCATCCCTTAGGGCAAATTCTTGAGCCTTGTTGCTGGTCTTCAGGTATTCTTCATCGGTGGTTTTCCTCGAAAATATCCATTGATTTCTTAGCGGTTGTATCAAGATTGCTCGTTTAAGCTCAATTGCGGATGTTCCATCTTGGGTGAGAGGGATGTCGAGGGAAAGGTTTTCGATGATCCTGACAGTTGACCCATCAGGAGAGTATTCAACGAGCACTTCATCGTTGTTGATCGGATAAGTGGAGACATCATCCACTTTTCGGGCAAACAAGGTTTCAGTAGGAACATCGTTCCAAACGTCATCCTTGGTGTCGTATTGGGGAAGGGGAGTGGGAATCTTCCACATTTCTTGGTATTCTTGTTCTAGCTTCCGAGAGTGTGGAGTGGCTGGGAGTTTGAGGGTGTCTTTTACCCAATCGATGTCAGGATTCATAGCCGATAACCAGGGTTTACCAAGGAGAATCATATCTCTTTCTCCCATGGTCATTACGTTGAACTTCCCGATCATGAGGTGTTTGTCGATTTTTATGGCTAGATGACAATAATGGGTACATTGCTTCTTCGAGAGTTGTCCATCGGCGTTTCGGATAGAGAAGGGTTTGTTGAACTTATGAATCTTGATTCCATGTTTCCGGACAAACATCCAGTTGATGAATGTTGCCCCTGCGCCACAGTCTACTACGGCGGTTGTGTGCAATGCTTTATTGGGGTGTACGGAGGAGAAGATGGTCGCCGGGACCCTAAATTCTTTAGTCTTTCCTACATTCTTGGCTATATG